CTAGGCTCTAAAACAATGAGCTAACTTTAATAAATTACTTTATTTTACAAAATCTATAAGAATATTGCTGAATATCCATTACACTACGTGATCCTTTTTACGATCTGCCACGCCCTCGAATGGTACATTTATATTTTTTGTGGAAATCGATAGAAATTCTACTACAATAATATAAATTTAGAGCTTCTAACTCTAGAAGTGTAGAAAATACATCTTTTCCTATATTGCCATGCCCTCAATGGGCATATTTATATTAGGCATATCTTATTGATTTTGAGCTCTCTAAATTCAATAAAGTCAATGCATAAATATATGTACATATATGAAGAGTGCTAATAAATATCCAACTAATTTAATTTGTGATTTCTTACTTGTTTCGTAGAACCTATAGCCAATCATCATAATCACAATCACAATCTCGATTCGTTCTCCAGCAGGTGCCGAAGGCGATGAGGGGTGCACAGCATATGAAAACCAAGCAGCAGCCGCATAAAACAAATCCCAAAATGATGAGACCTATTAGCAAAAGTTTTAAATTACGAGAATTCATTTTTTTAGTTTTTCGTTTGAGTAAGACAATTTCGTAATGTATTCAACGTGTAACTGTAAAGTAAAGGCACATTCTGTTAATTTTCAGCATACCCCTAATTCATCAAATAGCAATAAACCATTTAAAACATATTTGAAATTTTTATTTTTGAGATAACAAAAAATTTGAAATCGAAATGAAAGCTTGAAACGAAATGTTTTCGAATTGGAAATTAATTGAATTAGACGATCACGATCTTATCCTATCCCCGAGAGAATTGTCTCAGCTCCTTTTGCCTGTGGCCTGTTGTTGGTTTCTCTGTGGCTGTTGCTGAGTATTTTCTTCATCATCCTCATCATCTTGATTTCGGTTCCTACAGCAGGTCAAACAGCAGCCCAAGCAAGCCAAACATGGACAGCACAGAATCAATATCACACAACAGCAACACAGAAATATGAGTAGTACAAAAACCCCAATAACGGCATATATAATATTCCATGACTTCTTCTTTTTTACCGCCATCGATTCTTATTGGCCTGACTCTTCATGAAGCCGAAATTGCACCCATGAAGCTAACCAAAATGCGCTCAATTTGTTTTACTGAATTTAATACCAAAATGTATTCCAATAATTTTCTGTGCCTAAAAATCCAAAAACCAAACTATTGATTCCAATAAAAACAGCAAACAAAAAATTTAATATAATTTTTGTGACTATTGAGGCATTGCACACTTTGTTAAAAATGAATATTTACTTGTGAGAACTGTGGAACATATATTTTATATTAACATTTAATAATCAATAATTTTTTAAGCTAGCTTAAGCAAAAAACTTTCAAAATAAATAAAACAGATATCGGAGCTTGCAAATCTTTGTTAGAAATAAAACCTAAAACATTATATATATATATATATATATATATATATATATATATATATATATATATA